TGCCTGCCTGCCTGCCTGCCTGCCTGCCTGCCTGCCTGCTTGCTTGCCTGCCTGCCTGCCTGCCTGCCTGCCTGCCTGCCTGCCTGCCTGCCTATTGCACAATTTAATCCAGGTGAGAAAAAGTATTACAAATATATTTAAGTAGATTTTGAGCTTGTTCTAATATGAAAGTATAAATCTGCTGACTCGTTTTGGATTCAGAAGGAAATAGTGGCTGAGTGGCATTGATAGGAAGTCTCATTGGAAAGTCCACAAAAACAGACTAACATGTTGTTGGTGGGTTTTTTCCATGAGATTCTTTGACATTTGCAAAATACAAGAACCAGCTTATTTTTTTTAAAACATGTTTATAGTTCATCTTCCCAACATGTTCTCTAAATATCTGCTATTTGCAGATGCTCATGGTAAACAGATAAACAACTTGTCAGATTAGTGAGGTCTGATCTTCAAAGACAAACAGACTTCATGCCTCTTCACCTTAACTCTGTCAGATTAGACATGGTCACCCTCCCTCTTCCCTGTCTCCGTCCCTGTATCAGGATGTCTGCAGTGCAACCCCCTACACACCCCTCAACACATGCCTTTAGAAACAAACACACACACACATAAATACACAAACACAAAGATGTCCCTCCCCACTCTGAACACAAACACAGCTTGGTCATGATATCACAACAAGACGGCCGTCGTGGGAATTAGGAGAGCTTTCTTCTCCTGGAGACCCCTCCCCTCCCCTCTGAAGGAGTAATGACATGGCCCTCTGCCCCGCGACATTCATCACTTTAGCAGACTGTCACACGAAGAACACCGTGTCCAGGTTAATACGCGGTTTGCCTTTCACTGGGAACATTTCACACATTTTCACTGTTAAAAATATGGGGAATATGAGAGGCATTTTCAGAGTATGAAAGGACATTTGAAACGTGGGGTTTGTTTTGTGTTAAGCTCGATTACACGTGTATCGAGCTTGAAATAAATTACTTTGAAAAATGTTAAATAATCTAACTTTTGCATTTAGTGAGTAATGTGGCCCTTTATAGTGTTTATCTACAGTCTAAAGATGTCCATCCTTCACGCTCAACATGTATACATTTACTTTTTAGTTCCGTTTCCTTCTATTTTGAGATGTTTATATTTGTTTATTTTCTACTCTTTTTTTTCACATTACGTGCAATGCAATGTTTTAACACGCTGCTGTTATAAAGACATTTTCCAATTTGGGATCAATAAAGTGAATCTCATTAATTTAGCATGTTCAGGAGATCACTAAAAGTGCACAAGAAGGATTTAAAATAGGTATTCAAATTATCCAGAGTTGCAATTTTCCCACATTTTACATTATTGTGAAAATCCCAAAGTGCTGACAAGGGAGATGCACCTTTATTTAATCAAATCGCTGCCATCCAACCGGTGTTGACAGAACCAAATGCCATGGCGTCATGAAGCGATACTTTCCTGTCCTTCAGGTTTCCCTGGCAGATAGAGAGCTCATTATTGGCCTCTGGCTGTATCAATAGAGCCCGAGGCAGACAGACAAGGCTGTGCATGATTCACATTATTGTTAGGGAGTGGTGTCTCAATAACACACTGAAACACTAGTCTGTCCCTGAACACAACAGAGCTGTCCGACAAACACCCAATCACACTACAGAACATAAGAATGTGCACACTGATGAATTCATACAGACACCTTCACACACACACACACACACACACACACAGCTCCACTTTCATGAACAACTCAGCAGAGAGGGTTTCTGCAGCCAAAGTCATCTATGGGATTCTTTGTTTTGCTCCATTAGGACTTTTCCCCCTCCTCTCCCATCCCCCTCCCCCTCCCCCCCCCCATCCTTCTCTTACTCTGTGCAATTTCCTGCAGCCCTTCTTTCCCTCTCTTTCTCACTCCTCCACCTCTCATTTCTAACCCACTCTGGAGGTGTCAGGTTTCTACAGCTGGTTCACATTAGCGCCCCCATCTCACGCACGCACACCCCTCCCTCCTTCTCTCTCTCTCTCTCCCTCTCTCTCTCCTTCGTCTCTCCTTCGTCCTCCTCCTCGTCTACCTCATGCTGACCTCTGCCTGTCCTGGCTGGCTGTGGGGGCTTCAATGAGCAGAGAGGGGTGTGTTGATTTGTACTCACTCATGTAATGTCTCCCCCCCTCCTTCATTCCTAATTCTTATGTCCGGAGCTTCCATACTTTCTCCTCCCATTCCAAATCCCTAATTCCCCCTTTCTCTTGTGCTAATTCTCTCCTCCTACTTCTTCACCTTCCTCTCCTCAAAAACAACCCTGCCGCCCGCTCCTCCCGCTCCGCCCGCTCCTCCTCCTCCTCCTCTTCCTCCAGCAACTATTCTAGTCTCAGCAACGCTTAATAACTTCATGATGCTCTCCCCCTGCGGCCATCACACAGACACAGTGTGAGAGTTGTGGGAGAGCATGAACCAGCTCACATTTCAATCCCTGGATCATTCCCCGGCTTGGCGAGAGCATAGGTGGCCTATTCACTGTACTCAAGTCCTGTGTGTGCATG